TGCACTAAACACGACGATTTTCCACAGTATCCAATCTCATCTAAATACTCCCACCCACTCCTTGTTGAAGTTGGTCTCGTAGTTTTGTAATTTACTAGTGAAACTTTAAATACGCACAGCAATATGCGGGATGTTTCTTCACTTCTCGTCTGAAGGCGATGATTAATGAATTACTCAGAGTTAATTTTAAGTGCACGAATTTATAAATCTGCTGTATTTCTTAGGACTTGAGTTACATACATATACGTAACATGGGATTGAATTGGACCAGAATAACAGGAATGAAATATTGTCTTGAGTGAGGGTACTGCATGGAATCTCGTCACTTGTGGATAGATTAATCGCAGAGTAAACTCCTCTTACTTTTGGGGTGGGGAAGATCAATGGCTTGAGGGTGAAGTGGAGACAACACGAAAACACATCCATCCCACTTTCCATCAAGTTGATTTGCACGACTGTGGAGATGACGTGACAAGAAAGTGCTTGTTATGCAATTGACAATGGTGAAAGGCGTGTGCAATATTTCATATTTTCATGATACGCACTGGCTTGTAGTATTTTGTGTGTTTTGTAAAGAATAACTAGCCAACGATACTTACTTTTCCACAGCAATAAGTAATAAGTACTGCAGTTTGTTGCGTACTTTTGTATAGTCGGCGAGAGATGGATGGATGGATGAAAGTCATTATTTTGTTCAAGCCCGTTTGTAAAATTAATAAATTGCCAGTCACGTGCAATCCTTGTTAATTGCCTTATTAACTGAAAGTTGTAATTTTAGTTAATTCAAAATACTTATTCCACACCAAGTTTTTCTTGTAACAAATGATGGTTTCCTTTTCCTTCATCATCTAAAATAATATCACGCTGGTGGATACGTCCCAAATTACTACGCAATCAGAGTATACGCGCTCTACTGGGTTTTGTTATATTACATAATTTGAAATAACCTCGTGATCCCTAAAATGAGTTAATGTTCCTCCAGTCGGTTATAATGAGTTAATAGGCGGAGGAGAAGGATAGTTGCTGGGTGTCGAGTGGTAGAGGAAATAATTATTATGAAGTTGAAGTAGAGAACCCTCATGAACGTTGTATTGCAGTTGATGGACAACATCTCGTGTCTAAAGCCTAGTACTCAGGACGAATGTTCACGCGGAATTTCATCGTGCTTAAATTCTGTTAAATTTTTCGCTGGAGAGAAATTCGTAAGCGGGCAGAAAATACCACTATTCCACGTATATTTCGCTCAATTTTTCTATTTTTTCCACCATAAGCTCAAATGTCGGGGCAACCTGAGACATTTGGCGCTATATGTGGAACATATAGTATGTTGTCAGGCACTCTTATGGGAAATGTCGGGGGCTCGTACAAAAAAACGGTTGGGCGTAAAGAGATGCCGTAAAGTGCATTAGATGCCTCTCGAAAAGTTTTAAAATGACTTTTTTCTAATTCATGGTATCTTGAACCATTTTCAAGAAATTCAATAAAAACCGATTTTTCGGTTTCGAAATCATAAATGTTTCGCTGAATGAATTGGGTGCATAACACAAAGTTGTATGTAATAGCAAATATGTTCATAACCGCATTATCTATAATATTTACTCGAAAATTTTTTCGAAATAATGCTAGGTACAGGCGGTAAGTTCAAATTTCCGAAAAATTTTGCAATTTCGGCTACCAATTTCTCCACTGAGCTACAGCCTAGACGATACATTTTGGTAACCTAAACTAAACGGGATCGTATTGGGGAAGGTCCCGGCTAGTGCCCTCGACTGATTGACTTTTTCGAAATAAGCCTTGGTTTTTAAGATATGGCGCGATTTCTAAAATTAAAATCCATAACTCATATTTGGTATGAAAAAATAGAAATTTTCAGCGGTTTTGCCGCATAGCTTGTCACTCGTAGGTACTCAGGTCATTTGAGCTGAAAAACAGGTTTCATTTTGCCCCATTTTAAATTAACCGCCTTGCCATTGAGTTGAAACTGAGATTTTGAGATTGCTCCGCCCTCTTATTTTGAACTCAGAGGGCCGCGAGTCACTTTCCGCTCACATTTCACGTGAAAGAATTGCCTCGATTTAACGGAAACTTTGAGCTTACATTGAGCGTAAACTGCTCGCGCGGAAAATTCCGCACAAGTTTCACGCGAAGAGCTGAGTACCACTCGGGCTTAAATTGAGCAGAATTTCTGCAAAAGTCGTTTTCCGCGCGTAAAGTCCATCGTGAGTACTAAGCTTAACCCAAGGGTAGTTTTTCCAGGGTGGGGTGAAAATATATATCACAGGCATAACGTGCAGTAGTAGGTATGCTTTGTTTTTCCTAAATTCAGTCGGTTTTGATGGGATACCGACACTGATTTATTTTCTTGACGTCGCTTCCCTTTAGTAATGAGTTGTTAAATGTGCGTTTGGATGCGACAAAGGCAAAATATTCTGTCCAGGAGAGGGACAAACTACTAATGCAATCAAAAGCAGTTTAGAATTATGTATAAGAGCTCACATTCATTTTAATTATCTGGCAAGTTTCCATAATTTTGGCGAATCTGAAATACATAAATTGATAGCCGTAAAAGGTAAATGGTTTGCAGGTAGGCAGAAATAAAAACAGGCTTTGTGTTACAGCCAAAATGATTTTTTACTATGTACGTGGGCTTGGCAATGGTTACACGCATTATGCGTATCTAATGCCAAATATGTACTGTATGTATAGACAAAGCTACAAAACGCATGATAATATCTTTTTGTAAATAGATACGTTGTTGGCATTTATCTAATTCATCCTCTTATCTGTGAGTGGATATGATGCATCCTTTCTTGATTTGTTGCGTATCCCTCTTCCTGTCGCATGAATAATCAATCATGAACGTGATTTAATAAAATATCCAGATTGGGTATTGTGTGTACGGTTCGTATATTAAAATGTTGACAATGATGATAATTGTGATTAAGGTTTCTTCCAATTAGTTGGTATTGCATTTCATCAACATCAGATATGTCCTAAGCAAATAAAACCGTCTTTTTGACGATGACTGGAGTCATATATGTACACAGGGGTCATGTACGGGTGGTTGCGATTTGTGATTTATCCGATGCACGTGTTCTCCTAAATATAAAAGTCTACCAAACTACTAAATACTTCCATTATGGCGAACTCCCTTCTGGGATCATGGAGCAATATGTGCAATTTGGTGAGACCGCTTATCTAAACTAAACTAGGGGTGATTGACTGACTGATTGATCGAACATGAAGTTGGATTTGCTGCATATCCTCTGTTTGAATAATAGCAGTCCTACATACGTGGAATGATTTGAGCTTGTGCGTGATGCTCTGGTATATTTGCATTTATATCGGTGAAAGTAAAATACTTTGAGAAGAAATGCATGGCATTCATTAGTCGTAGAATGGCAGATGGTACGACAAAAGGGTCCACACTTTGCTAACTTGAGCGTGAAAATTGTAATATTTTGTACTATTGAACTTATTGGTATGATTTTTGATAGAATTAGAATTGTGGATGGACATTCTTCACGAAAAGGAGGACATTCTTTGGTTTTCTAGCCATTATTGCTATAAAATGTGACTGGAGTGAAAGTCTGGGTTTCACAAACTATTGTCTGGATAAGAAAGTGTTGCGGAAAAGTACTTGTACGTACTGGGTGCATGAGTGCTACTCTCCATCTCTGTTCTGTTGTTGGGGACAGAGAGGGGGGCTGCCCCTCTCTTCTCGGGAGGAGGCTTATCTTATTTCTTTGCCCCAATAACCATAATTGCCTCAGTCAAAGTGGAAGAGCCGGACAACAAGCTCCCCACCGCTCAACCGATACCTCTACAATTAAAGTTTTATAACTGGGGTCAAGGTGGCAAGAGTTTCTACTTTCATGGAACACAAGTTCTTGAAACAAATCTTCCATACCACGGTAATATTTTTTTTGTAAATGAAATATGGCAGTAACTTCAATACGTTGAAATTACGTAGGCCCATACCAAGCAAGTGTTCACACCAGCCTCCCATCTGCTGATTCACAAGACGATTTCATTGCTCCTGAAGTTGATCGCAGCAGCAGCAGCCATGGACCGAGTGAAAGTCAGGATTTGGGTGTACTATCAAATCGAAGGAGAGGAATATCTCCTTACCACCCATACCCAGCAGCCATTGGTGTTCAAAGAGGCCTTACATTTTACGACAGTCATTCCCTTGCACCGAAAAATGGCGAAACGCCATCTCCAAGCACTTTACATGTTGCCGGGTCTTACTTTCACTACCCCAGCCCTGACACGGATGTCCCTTCTCGATCATCGCAATCCTCACCTCCACATGTAGAATTTTCACGAAACCTTCCCCTCTCTATTTTAACAACCACTACTAGCACATACACTACTCATCCCACGTCTGTTAGTCCTTCTTCGCCCATCGTAACCAGATCTAGTCCTACAACCACCACCACGTTCAATGTTCAAGAGTATCACCGTTCGCCACGTTCTTTCCTTCGTCGATTCAGTCAAACTCATAGCTCAGGGAGACCAAGCCATGAAAATGGTGCAAGAGGTGCTAAAACGACCACGCGAAGAGGTTCGCAACAATACTACCGCCGAGCAACAGTTCACGGTGGGAGGCTTGAGCGACAGAGAAAGTATAGCCCAACTACTACCACCATTGGCCTTTCCCCTTCTTCGACGACTTTCCCTGGGCGAAATCCACAAGTTCAAAAAACTCTAAAAAGTGTCGGAATTGATGATGAGTCGATTTTGCGACAAGACAAGAAAATAAGAGTTCTATGCTGCAGAGAAGATGCTCGATATTGCTTTCTCGTGTTTAGATTGGTGTATATGCTGTCGTGTTTCGAAGAGGTTCTTGCATACGTTTTTTTACTTTCACTTTATCTGTATATCTTGGTACAATGTCATGTTACCCCACGTGCTATGTCTACATCATACAATTGTAGTGTAAATGTATGAATATCGATTCTCATGCTACAAGTTTGCTAAATGAGATTTATTATTAGGAACTTCAATCGGAACTCGAAAATCATGCTGCCACGATATCCGCTCTTGGTGGGTCAGCTCGAACAGCTGCAGCTGTTGGAGCTGAGAGACAAGAAGTAAGTTAATGACCAGAGATCAATTGCATCCATTGTTATTATTAATTTATTCAGTTTCGTTCAGCTCCATGTACAAAAAATTATTATAAAATTACAAATTTACCCAACATAGGTTCAAAACCCCAAAAAATCTTAACAAAATCACAGATTTCACACCATGAATGACTATTAACCATACTAACTGAAACACATTTATTGGTCGAATAACTTGGAAAAGAATTAGGGCGAATAGGATTACGAAGCCCTAACAAATATGCCACATAACCAGCAATAATCATCTTTGCCTCAATCTTCTTCTTATCATCGTTATCACACTTTGCAAGAAGATAGCAGGTCATAGTGGGAGCCTTAAGTCCAGGTGGATAGACCCTCGCCTCTATGATTCGTTTGTACTCACTCGCTCCGTCTGTTCTCTGTCCGGGTTTCAAGCGATCCTTGAAGTCCGGGGTATCACTCCACCCAAAATAATGCATATCTCTTGACATGATGACATACAAAAAAGCTGTCCCTTTCTTTTGTTGTTGTGCTGCTGTTGGTGATCCAAGTAAATATTCCCCTGGAAATGGATATTTGACCTCCGCCCTCTCTGCTATAGTCAAGTGGCGACGAATCTTTAGATGCATCCCCAGCTCCTTCAGTCGCGCATCGATCTCACCCTCCATTCCGTAACACAGGGGGATGAGATCATCCAAATTGATGATGGGTTGACTTCCTGGGGCCAACTTCATAAACATCCCGATAGTCTACAAATGCATATTAATAGTAATGTTCAAATGAAAACTCTTTAAATTCTTTACTCAATATTGCACATTTTCTATAATCAATTTCACTCACAGACTCTAATGATAGCTTTCTCAGAGCATCCTCCTCGTTGGCGAAATGGGTAATGGATATGGCTTTAGGGGTGGGACGAACTTGTAGACCTTTGGTAGCACAGTAATTTTTCCATGTTGGATAACTAGTACAAGTGTATCATCAGTAGAAGTTTCAGCGACTGGCTTTTTTTTCTTCTTCACCACTCGTGGTCCCTTTCTCTGGGACAATTGAAAATCGTCGTCTGACCATGATCCGTCCTCCCCCTCCATATTTATTTTTAAAAAACGTTAAATTAAAAATATGGAGAATAAATAATGTTGCTGCAAAGAAGACTGACGAGGATGACCTGTAGTAAATTCCCGCTTGAATTTGAACTGTGGTGATTGGGGGAATATAACATGACATTGATTGCTTAATTTTTATCTGTATTTTTCAATTTTTAGGATGCTTCCGTTTTGTTGCGTAGATTGGATGAGATGAATCAACGATGGCACGGTCTGAAACAACGGTCGATGGCTATTAGGTATGGCTTCATACATATATGGTCGATGGTTACATATTACACCTGTTGGATCTTTATTTTGTGCATGATATTTTTAGGAGCCGCCTCGAAAGGTAAGTGGATTCCATACGCTTTCCATTTTCAGGCGCAATAATTCCATGAACTGCCTCATTATGCAGCATACCTGCAAGACCCCCTTTTGATTCAATTTGAAAAAGGTTTATTTCGTGTAGAAAGTATGAGTAACAAACAATAGAAATATATGATAGGTCTGTATAGCTATCAATGGATTTTATTAGTTAAGCGACTAAAAATGAGGTTTACTCAGTTGAATGTTTTGAACATTGGCAAGGGGTGCATGTCGCACCTGGCTTCGTTCACGTTCTGACGACACCATCTAATTTGATTTAGTTATGATTGGAATATGAAGTATTTGAATCATCTTATTTTTTGATAAAAAACCGGGTAAATTTTTTGCTCACCTTTTTGATTATCACGTCCAATTGACGTTTTAAATCAGTCGAGTTCCTCCTTTCTAACGCCAATTGACGACTTATCTTTTGACGATCATTAGTGGCTGCAATTCTAATTTTTCGTTCATCCGACAACTCAGCTTCCTTTGACTGCAATTCGTCCTCGAGTTCTGTGATTCGTGTCTTCTGTTTTAATAATTGGGATTCGAGAGACGTTTCGTCCTCTTGGTTGGGACCGTCCTTAGCGACATTTCCTTGACACTTCAACTTTTGACTGGGTTTCTCGTTTATTATCTTCCCACTGCTACTAGCTTCATCAGCCTCGATTGGTTTCCAGTTTCTTCCCACATTAGTGCACTTCCCTTTGTGAATTCCTAAACCGATTTTACTTTTGAATTCACATGGACAATTTTGACACTTTATCATCCCTCCTCCATGACTAACCTGTAAGGATTATGGAAACCACTTTGTACAGTATTGCATAACCACGAGTATGCCGATTAAGCGAAATTACCTTGAGGTGTTTTCTCAAATTGCTTCGTGCATGTACAACTTTGTTGCATTTCATGCAAGTGTAATCAAGCTGTATTGTATGGTTACGAGTGTGTGTTACAAACGAACGTTTGTGGCGAAATTGTGCAGAGCAGACTTTGCACGTCCAAGGTTTACATTTTCCATCAAACTTATATAGCTGGGTGCTACTAGGTAGGTTATGCGCCAAGTTATCCAATTTCCCAAACGGTTTGGATGACGTGTATGGAGCTAGACGAGTATTATGCTTCATCTTGTTCACAATTTTGGTCACTTTCATCTTTCCCAGCGAAATTAAGCTTCTGTGTGACGCAAAGGTCATTGATGGTGTGTCGACGGACGACAGCTTTCTTGTGCTTTATTTTTGACAACTGCTTGGACTTGATTCCTGAAAAATATGCGCCTTGGACGTTTGGCCAATAACCTTTGAGATAATAATCTCTGTAAACAAAGATAATGATACTTAACATCAAAACCTTTACTTATATTTTTAACAAACTTTTAATAGAAAGGATTCTTACTGATCCGAACATGCTTTTTTGTTGGAAATCAGGTTATCCATGTGAATTGCAGCAGCTTGTTCCGCTGTTTCCTCCCCCGTGTAACCTTCGTAGTTTCCGATAAATGTAGCATTTTCGTTCCCCTCTTTCAACTCTTTATTGGGATTCTTGTCCCACCACTCCATAACAAATACTTTGAAATTTGAAGAATTTGCCATTGTTGGAAAAACGGGAAATTTTGGCTTTCGTGATGAATCTGTTCACTCAAAATCTTCTACCCGCCTTCGTTTAACTATGGACGAAATCTCATTTGTATTCATTTAACTTTATTTATCGAAAGTAATACGGAACACTGGCACGCACTTCTTTTATCACTGAGAGAACTGATTGAATGGACAATCCGGAAAGACACTGAGCTTACTGCTTTAGGACCTCTCGGTGGGGACGTTATCAGTTTGCAAAAGCAAATGGTTAGTATACAAGAATCTCGCACCTACAAATATTCACCTAATGGAAACGCCCTAACATTGTGTATCTTTTTTCTATTTGTATAGGATGACAATCGTGCGTTCAGAAGACAGTTGGAAGCAAAGCGGCCCATCATTGAAACCAACTTGATAAGTGGTAGACAACACGTCGCAAATGAACCTCCGGTGTCAGACGCAAGCGATGCTGAAGGTACATACACATTAAATAATACGTTTTACCTGAGATTTTCTTTCCAGTTTATTTATTGAAATTCCATTCTTGTCGGCCAGTGCGGCGTTTTATATGGGTTTCTTTTATGTCAGTAGCAGACATGTCCCCTGCTTTTGAAATGTTCGGTTGACGGTTACTCACACCAACCTATACTCTTTTTAAGGAATAGTATGCATACATGCATGATCCGTCTCCAACAATGCAGCTACTTAACTTTGATGTGGCACAAGTCGAAAAGCTCATTACGCTAATAGTGTATGGATTTTAGCTAGGGAAACAAATATTTTGGGATTTGTTGTGTTGTACAGTCATTTCAATGTGTGTTAATAATCCCTCTTTGATTCTAATTCAACCAGCTCGAGATAGTGACATGCGAGGATATCGAAACGCAGAGTCCGCAGCACGAGATTTAACCCGAAATATAAGGCGTGAAGTCACAAAGTTGTCAGAAATTTGGGTTTCATTACTCAACCGCTCTGATGTTTGGCAGCATCGTTTAGAAGAGACTGTTTCGGTTGGTTCCTTGATAATAATACTTGAAATTATATTATACTTATAACTTTATGGAAAATATTTTAAAGCTAAAATCCTGTAAATTTTCAGAGAATGAAAACATTCCAGTTGATGCTTGATGATGCATCCGCTCGCCTTGCGACTGCAGAAGCAATAAAATCAAGGTGAATTAAAATAAAATAATAATAATAAATATATTTTAATTTAAAATTATTTTAATTTTAGATGGCAGACAATTGCTGCTGCTGCAGACAAGTCAACATTATTGGATCAACTGAAGGTACGCATTTATTTGATTATAGAATCACTTGATCTTGAAATTATTGCATTTTAAAAATACATATTTTTTATTTAGACATTTCGGGAACACATTTTTGCAACGCAAAAAGCGGTGAATGAGATTAATGAACACGCTGGTACCCTGACAGCATCACACGTTGTTCACGATTTAAATCTTAGACTGAGGAATTTGCAACAAAATGCGGATGAGAAAGAAAATGAATTGGCAAAAACTGGTTCAAGTGGCACTGTTCCATCTGTTATCGCTGTTATTCCACCTTCCGGAAAATCGTCCGTAGATCCTCCTTGGGAGCGGGCTGTTACAGCAGCTAAAGTGCCTTACTACGTCAATCATCAAACGGAAACAACTCAATGGGACCATCCTAAGATGTCAGAATTACTTGGTTCACTTGCAGAGTACAACGAAGTACGATTCTCCGCTTACAGAACCGCTTTGAAACTCCGGGCACTCCAAAAAGAACTTAAAATTGACAGACTTCCATTGAAAACCGTTGTGGAAACCTTTGATTCACTTGGATTGCGTGGTCATAATGACCGATTACTCGATGTTCCAGATATGATTTCTACACTTAACACGTTATACAATCTATGTTTAAATCAACAACAATACTCTACATTACAAAGTGGAAAAAACGCTCCATCACAGACATCAAGCAGTAAAAACGCACCATCTCCACCGCAAGAACCCCCTGTTAATATTCCCTATGTGGTATGTAATATTACATGTTTTGTTAAACACTTCTAATTATTAAACACAAACTATTAAAAATTCGAATCAGGTCATGCATATATAAAATGCCATTATTTGATTTTATAGACTGACATGGCTATTAATTGGTTGCTCAATGTGGTAAGAAATTGTCTCGAAATCAGTTTTATGTGGTAATACTGACTCGTCTCATTTTACATTTTTTTTGATAGTACGACTGTCAAAGGACTGGACAGGTTCGAAATCTGTCTTTTAAGGTCGGCCTTGTTGTACTCAGTAAGGTAAGTGATTTATATAAAAAATTACAGAATAAGGAAATAACAAGTCTGAAGATATTTATTCTTGGTAATCGTAAGTATTTAATAAATCTGTTTTATTCTATTATTCAAGGGTCCGATGGAAGACAAATTTCGATGTTCGTAAATGATTTCAAATGTTACTACATTATTCTCATGGCTGGAATAATAGTAATTAATACAACTTATTGTTTACAGATCTATTTCGCTTGGTGGCAGACGTATCTAAACAAGTAGATCAACGAAAACTTGGTCTATTATTGCATGATTGTATTCAGGTAGATTAATATTATAGTGATTCCCATTCTAACTGAATTTTGTCATTTTTCTTAGTGAGGCAAATACCTAATACTCATATGTATGTACAACAGATTCCAAGAATGTTCGGAGAAGTTGCTGCATTCGGTGGCTCGAATATCGAGCCATCCGTAAGAAGCTGCTTTGAGATAAAGGCTGGGAGGGATAAAGTTACCATCGAGGTATGTAGGAATTTCTAACATCTAAAATTTGTGGCATACTCATGTATTATGATTTTGTTCATTAAGGCACCTACCTTTTTGGAATGGGTCAAGCAGGAACCACAAAGTGAGTCATATTTTTTATTTAATTACAATCTTGAAATAGTTTGTTAACAACACTATTCTATTTGAAATCTCGTCAGGTTTGGTTTGGTTACCAGTATTGCACAGAATTGCAGCAGCAGAAGGAGCGAGGCATCAGGCCAAGTGTAACGTATGCAAAGAGTGTCCTGTGTTAGGATTAAGGTGAGAAAACGGATGAGATTTGTATTTAATAAGTATGACATGATATTGACGAATATTATGGTTTGTTTTCAGATATCGGTGCTTAAAGTGTTTCAATTTTGACATGTGTAAGTGGAAATTTGACATTCGATGCTTAATCAATTATTCCCACAATATTTAATCATGCAATTTGTTCAGGTCAAAAATGTTTCTTTGGAGGAAAGAAATCCAAGAATCACAAGTAAACAACATTATATTTTAGTTTTATATTTTTCATCTTCTTTGGGACTTTTCTCACTTTTCAATCTCTTTCACAGGTTGACGCATCCAATGCAAGAGTATTGTACAGAGGTATTTTTACGTTTTTTTTTATTACTTTATTACATTTGCTTTAAACTAAACTAATTTGTTTGCAAATTACTATAGACGACTTCTGGAGAGGATGTAAGGGGTGAGTTTGACGCATAAAACTCGTAACATATTCATTATATTAATGGAAATATTTTCCAGACTTTACTAAAGCTTTGAAGAATCGTTTCAAGTCCAAACGGTCTCTACAAAAACATCGCAAATTGGGATACTTGCCTGTGCAATCAGTTTTAGAAGGTGATATGCTTGAATCACCAGCCCCGTCACCTCAACATTCCTTATCTCCAGATATCCATTCTCGCGTCGATACATATGCAGCAAGATTGGCTGAAGTAGAAATACGTAATCGAAGTAATTCCGGAAATATTAGGAATACGCCTGATTCGTAAGTTATTATTAGTTTTAAACTTCGAAAATCCCATTGCTCATTATATGAGAATATATTTTTAGGGAGGATGAACACAGTCTCATAGCTCAATACTGCCAATCGCTTTCCCGTGGTGATGGCGTTATACCACGAAGTCCTATTCAGATTGTTGCAGCGATCGACGCTGAACAAAGTGAACAATTAGAGGGTAAGAAATGTCAATTCGTATAAGTAGGAATATGTGAATATGAGTGGTATTGTGTTATTTTTGAAAAAGTAACCTCTTGGTTGACAGTGTCCCACTTTCTAAGCTAATCCATTGATTATGCATGTTTATTTCTATTAGCTGTAATTCGCTCATTGGAAGAAGAAAATGCTTCCCTACAAGAAGAATATGAACGATTGAGACACAAATCTCAGTCTACAGGACACCCCATCACTCCATCTGAAGAATTGAAGTTGGATCATAGCAATGGAAGCTTGCCCCCTCTGAATGGAAACCAGCACAAACCCAACTTTTACCCCTCAATGGATTCCAATGAGAACAACATTGTTGCTGAAGGTGAACTTTTACCTTTAATAAATGGGCTGCTTAATTTAAATTATTGTTGTCAATTTCTTATTTACATATTTCTACACAGCTCGCCTTTTGAGACAACACAAAAACAGGCTGGAATCTAGAATGCAAATTTTGGAGGATCACAATAATCGGGTAAGTTCTTAGAAAAATGGTCTGAAACATGTCGGTACACGCCTCAACACGTTTCAGATTATTTCAAAAACAAATTATTAATTCTTAATAATTACATAGCATTGATTGCGAATGCTAAGATGTCGACTAGACCCGTTTTAGTTTACCTGGTGTTTCTGTTTTTCAGCTTGAAGCTCAATTACAACGGCTCAGACAACTTTTAGATGAACCGAAACCAAATTCTCCGTCAAAGACAGGAACGCTACAAAGCAAGTCGGTCGTGGCAGCAGAACTCGCCATTGATTCCCCTCTTCCTCAGAGGGCCAATGGTCACGGACATCATGAGGGTGTTGCGAGTAAGTGCAGCCGTTGCATAAATTTACTGAACTGATTATTATGTGTTTAAAAAATTGTGTGTTTTTAAAACTCTTTTTTGGATTAAATAAATCATGCTAAATATCAAAAAATTATTTTCTTAACGTCAATCTCTTGTGTATATAGGTCAATGGCAAGCACCACCTGCTCCTACTAGCACAACGGATGACAGACCTCCTCCACCCACGCCTGGTTATAATTCTGCCACGGCCAGTGTTGAAGAACTCCTTGCGAGTACGAACATATAGTTATTAAAAACTGTTGGTCAACTTTTAAAATGTAGTGTTTGTAAATAATAATAAAATTAAATGTGTTTTCCAGGGACATCAGACTTAGGGAAAGCTGTTGGTGAATTGGTTCAAACAATGACGGATGACGAACACGAAGATTCTCCTGAACAGGACTACCTCAAGCAACGATCAAGTTATGACGAGCGGCCAAATCATTGATGATAAAAACTAATTTTGGAGATTTGTTATCTTAGTATTTATTACATATTATTACATACAGTCAATAACTTTGTTTGTGATTGGCTGTAAAAGAATACAGTACCTTTTCTATTAATTATTGTTACCTTTCTAACATAACCTAATAACTGACCTTGCGGGTATTAACTAGACTCTGAATGAGTCTTCCTAAATATTTGTGAATTTTATACTCTCGATGATCGTCTTTGTTGTACATACATACATATTCAATAGTGTATGGAAGCCAAACTGAAAGTGGTGTGTAAGTGCATAAATTATTAATGTACTTTTAGAGTTATGACTCAATCGCACACCGGTGAAATTAATTATGATTAGAGTTATTCATTTTTTAAATACTTTAGCAAACAAATTACTATTACCTCTGTTGAATAATTTTAGTAACATGTGTAGTTGAGAAAGGTGCATCAACACTTACATTATTATATCGTGTTCATATACATCGAAGTTATCGATGCAAAAAGTTTATATGTAATTAGTTGTGCATATATTATTATAGCACGTCTGTCGTGTTAGTCGGTTGTCTTCGTCTTTTTGTGCAGCAATACCGCAATCATCACGGTCTAAAATTATATACTACTTGATGATGAAACATATATATTTCCAATCTACAGCACATTGAATAACTAACAAAGGCAATTATTAACTTTTATGTACCTATTTATATTCTTCAGTGTTAAAGAATTTCTACCCGTGTTCATCCCATTATTAATTGTCGTTAAGAATTCTCTCATACTTTTCATACGTAGTAATATGTCATACACCTACATAGTAAGTAATCATGATCATCATCAGCCTTATATTTTTTTACATGGTACAAGAATACTATACATATTATTACGTTTGTAGAAAAACGCTCTTGAATTTATCTTTACCAAACTAATTACTGTAGTCTATCCTATTAACTATCCAATGAATTATACATACATACGTGAAAGCAATATTATGTTATTAACAGGTATTGTGTAGGTAGGTAGAAGTGTGTAGCAGGGACTTTTTGGAAGTAATTGACATGTCAAATCCATATCAAAACCTACTTATAATAAGGAGAAGGAACACTCCTCTTGAACTGTATAATATCAACAATCATGTATATGCAACCACCGACTGTCTATATAAAGGGAAATGTCCAAATCTTTTGGGCGATGCTGACGTACAAAAATTTTTATCAATCAACCATTGCTTCCAGTTCCTAACGGTTAATATTTGATAGCAGTAAACAAATTGTGCTCTACTGTTCTGTTCCATGTAATTCATCAATGTAGAATTTTATATCTTTAGAAAATTAGAAACTGAAAACAATTATTTACTACAAATAGTGTCCTTGCTTTTAATTTTTAGCCTTCATTGTCAAGTTGTATAAGTAAGCAAGGCCATCAGCCATCAGAAACCACCAAAAGCAGCCATTTAAAAAGTAATACTACTTATTCTAACATAATTTTGTAAACAACAAATTTCGTATTATCAGCGAAATGAGTTCCAATCTAGCTCATTTTTATTAGCATTTTAATTAACGTACGCCATGATGATTACCCAACTTAACCAAACTAATTATTACGAGTCAATAGTCTTAACCAACAACAACCAAACACCAAGTAATTAATGATAAAATTATACCTCATACAGAGAAAATCCAGTAGTTTAAGCTAAACTTAAAATACATACGTATGTGTCATAAATACATGCATAAAAATAAGTGGACGTGACGTAAAACCATTAAAAAAACAACTTGTTACATGTTTGCTACTTTTAACAGAAGGGAATTGTGCAACTCCAAAATGAATAAATAAAAGTTGAGACTGTAGTGAAATTGGGAATCTTCTCTTCTCGCATAAATTATTTGTTTGGAGGAGAAAGCACGATTTTTTCCATGAAAAGTAAAAGTGAAAGTTGAGGCACGTTGAGACGCAATTATTTTCATGGAACAGTGTCGTGCGCCACCTTCCGCTTTTATACTTTCCGACTCCACGTCTTCCATTCTTTTTGGCATTCTTATTACTCACTCCCTGCCTGCTCACTCCTCGATTCAAGTTCAATCACTCGGAGAAAATAAAACAATTTTAATTTATACGTTAAATTTAATAAACACTATTAATTTGTAGCTGAGTGTCCAGTACTGAGTCGAGTAATTGGATAGAATCTTGAATCAAATCGAGTATTTAATTATTTATTGTTGATCTCAAAAGTTTCTACTTGAAACTCCAAATTATTCAGTTATTTAAATGACGGCAGCCCCAGTTAAAGTGGAGCCCAAGATGGAAGTCGATTTGAAACCAAACAGTACTCCGAGTACGGGTGGTGGGGGTGGTGGTGGTGGACCTCAGATGAATCGCGGTGGGGGTGGTGGAAGAGGGAGACGACAACGTAAGTTTTATACTGTTATTTTGACCGTTAATATTGTGTATCATCTTAGCTTACATTTAGTAAAATAAACGGTGTTGTATTTATTTGTTTAGGGGGAGGAGGAGCTGGGCCAGGTCGAGGTTTCTTCGGTGGTGGTCGCGGCGGCGGCGGCGGCGGCGGCGGCGGCGGCGGCGGAGGTGGGGGTGGGGGAAATAATCAAGATCGAGTTGAACGACGACCATTTCATCATAACAATGATGGAGGTTATGACGGACCTATGAATAAGAAGCCACGAATGGGAGGACCGATGAATCCTGAACACAGAGTTATGGACAAACTTCGTGGCGTTGCTGGACCCACTGCTGATCTTCCCCCTAAAAAGGTAAAATCCTTATCCCATATTTTGTTTTTATACGTACATAGAACAAATTTAAATATTTGTCATTTTTATATTTCAGTTTGAAAGTAAAAAGTTTGCAGCCAACACCAGGTTGTATATTGGAAATATTTCAAATGAAGTGACAGAAAGTGACATTAAGGAGTTGTTCATCCCCTTTGGCGAAATTGATGAAGTGTTTTTAAATCGAGAAAAGAACTTTGCTTTTCTCAAACTTGTAAGTGTTTCAGATCTGATTTATTTACAGAAAGTACTATTAATTTACTTAATACTAATACTAATAATATTTAATTTGGTATGCAGGATTTTCGAACCAATGCTGAAAGGGCACGAGCGGAATTAGATCAAAAGCAACTGAAAAACCGACCCATCAAAGTGAGATTTGCGCCAGCCACTGTTCGAGTCAAGGTCAAAAATTTGTCTCCCATGGTCAGCAACGAATTGCTTGAATTGGCATTCAGCGTTTTTGGAGATGTGAGTTTAACTATTTAAACTTTTTTGGTTACGTTACATATATTTAATCTACTCATGATGAAACCACGGAATTACCGTTTGATCTACATGATACGTATTCTATTGGCTGCTTTTTTAAGTTACTGACAATAACGAGTCTCACCATAGATCATAGTTAACACGATATGAGAACTTTAATTAATAAGTTTTTTTTTTCTATGTTTAATCAGATTGAACGAGCCCTCGTATTTGTTGACGAGAAGGGAAAATCCATTGGTGAAGGATTTGTTGAATTCACCCGGAAAAACAATGCCTTGGCTGCCCACAAGTTCTGCAATGACAAATGTTACTTTATCACGTCAGAACTGCGACCCGTTATTACGGACATGGCCGACATGTACGAGTGTAAGATTTTTATTCTTTTTTCTCACTATGCCCCTCTAATCCCGCAATTTATCGAACATCATCTCTCTCCAACTTTTCTCCGTTCGTCAGTCACCATAAGTCACGCTGCTCTACTGTCGTTATTACATTAATTATTTTGATGGCGTCTTCAAGTAAGAAAATTAAAGTTGATAAAGATTATAAGTGTTCATTGTGTACAAGTAGTTTTGATAAACAATGGCAACTAAATGCCCATATAAATAAAGTCCATTCTGAAAACACATTCTGTTGTGATGTTGAGGGGTGTGAAAAGTCATTTAGAACCGCAGATGAATTACGACGTCATAAGTTGAGCCATATTAATGAACGACAGTTTATTTGTGACTTCCCAGAATGTGGTGCTTCATTCAATTACAAAAATGTTTTAGAACAACATAAATTAAACCATGAAACTGAACGACAGTTTATTTGTGACTTCCCAGAATGTGGTGCTTCATTCAACCGACATGATCATTTAGAACGACATCAATTGAGCCATATTAATGAACGACAATTTATTTGTGACTTTCCAAACTGTGGTGCTTCATTCAACCGACATGATTATTTACAACAACATAGCTTAGTTCATAATGAGTCCCGACCTTTCGAATGCAACGTTTGTGGTGCTGGTTTCAAACGAATAGGTGGTTTAGACAATCATTTATCTGATTCATTGAAATGTGGTGCAAAGTTCACACTCATAGACAGTCAATCCCCCCTCAATTCTCAAGATCCTGCTGCATTGCGAGTGAAGAGTGACATTAACATTATTCGTGGTACTAGATTCATACCTCGAAAGTGGTTCGTCTACTTTGTTTTATGCATTCCCATCGAAGATATCACAGAGAACTTCTCGATAACAGAATATATTGCTAAAATTGACAAGGAGAAAGACGCACAAGGAAAGTGGAGGGAGTTGTTATTGTATATAGGAAAGTGCAATAGATCAAGAGCTAGTCGTTATCACAGTCACGCAATTCTGTCTCAATTTTCGAGCATCGGAAAAAAATTATTAGCCAAAACGCACGCCTGTTTTACAGTATATACGATTGAATGTGACAGTGAAAGTCAAACCGCAAGACGAGAAAGTTCACTGCAGTCTTACTTGTGTATGAAACGAGGGGCTGCTAATCAACCTGACGGCCTGAAATTTGTTCCTGGATGGATTAATTCATCGAAAGACCCTTTGGCTGATTTATCAGAAGAAGAGGAAAAACAACTCATTAATCTCACCGCATTCCAAAACCGAGGACCGATTTGTACAACTTTAGGTTGTGAAAGTCAGCACTTCCTTTCCGAGAAGGTGCTGAATAGTTTGGGGGTGGAAGATTTTTGGTTCCGGGGACTTGTCCACATTGATGATAGCAACGTAACACGAGTAGAATTGCCAAAAGAAGGAGAGGAGGAAGTGAATGATGAGGTGGAGGAGTTGGAGAGAGAAGAACAAAGGGATGTGGAGAATATTCGAACGTTATTTCGTTAAGAACTCCCCTCTGTGAAAATATATAAATATTATAAATTATTATTGTATTATCATGTTCCGGAATCCGAAAGTCGATGAAGGACTTTTGGAAGGGAATCTGAACAAACGTGAATATGGAAAGGATCGGGAACTCGTTTACTACAAATCGAGAGAAGTAAGTCATCCGTACTCAACAAGTTTTATCTTAGTTTCTACTACCACTAATTTCGTGGTTACTCATGATGATATCACGGAATTACCGTTTGAATTTAATGAAACAAACTTCTTATGGCTGCTTTTTATAAAGTTTCTGACACCTCTTCCAATGAATTCTTTATAAGTTAAATTTTGTGCAAATAGAGTTTAACAATTGTTAATTTTATTTAGATGGGTCCAAGAATAGCAGAGGAGGGATCTTTTGAACAGGAATATGGAACCAAGTGGAAGGCTCTCGTGCAAGAATTCCAGGAGAAAGAAAAGGCTTTGAAGGTCGAAATGGTCGGAGCGATTGAGAAATTGCAAACTCAAATGGAAATGGCTCGTTACGATTATGAGACAGAAATGTTGAGGCAACGTAAGTTGAATTCGAGTGTTTATTATTTATTCTCCGATTGTTTAAACGAATATTTACAAATAAGTATGTACTTATCATTAACAGAACTTCGTCAACGTGAAATCGACCATGAACAGCAGAAGCTACGATGGGAGTCACGAGGAGGAGGATTCGGCGGAGGAAATAATGGTGGTTTTAACCAAAATGGAATGGGTGGTAGTGGCGGTGGGGGTGGACCCATTACAGACGGCGGAATGAATCAGATGGATACCGAAAATGGAGGAGGTTTGAGCTTTAATCTGTTTGACAGTGCGTTTGCCTCTTTTCGTTTTCTAATATTATTTACGTACACATTTCTTACTTAACTTACTGAAAAGTCAACTAGTAGTAGTTACAGCAAAATTACTTACTTAATCTGTTGTGATGTGTGCTGGTGCCAATTTACATGATGAGAATTTCGGAATTACCGTTTGATATCTATATGATACAATTTCCTATGGCTGCTTTTTTTGTTCTGATATGGCGTATTGGGTTTGCAATTCAGTAATTTTTGTATTTTGTACAAGATAAAAATAGTTACTTACTGGAATTTGTTTACTTTTATTAGGTCAATCAAACTCTGGAGCATTGGCACCTCCTCCAATGCCACCACAAGGATTAATGCAACACTTGCAACCTGGAGAGGAAGAGATGAGCACTGGTGGCCCAACTTGGGTATGTGTCTTTTAGTTGTTAAATTCAGTAAGATTCGCTTGCATTTTGAAAATGTCATTCGACATTTTACATGATACTTACAAAAGCAATGTTACGCGCTAATGGTATAACCGTTACATTATTATTTCCAAATCGGTTAGAATTTCAAAGTTGGAGTCGGGAGAATGATTTATTTTGGACCTCGAGACTTGTCGGCTTCGAATTTTATTAAAGTGGCAAAACTAAGCCACAACATCTTGAAACCATATTTTCTCGCAAATTACAACATTTTACGTCCAATTATACTGAATTCTGTCTTACAAAAAATGAATTGCAGGAAAACTAAATTCGCGAAATATATATTATATTTGAATTGAAAACACGACCTATTTTATCAATATTAGTTATGAAACGTTGGCTAGTGCTTCGTGCTTGTTTTTATAAAGATGGTAGGCACTTGAATATATAAATGGACCAAAAACCATAACTGCACTTGTTACTACAACATTTTGGCGAATGACTCAATTAAGTAGACATAAGTTTGCTCATAAAAAAATACGTTCGTTTTTGTTAGGCCTTGCGGATAAAAATGTATTTTAACATTTGAAGACGTTGTATTTGACGCATTACAATAATGCATAAAGAATGCTAATATGGATTTCAAAATAACTGATTGATAAATTTCTCATATTTATACCAGAATTATCACTTATCTCAGAAGACTTCAAGTATCGCAAAGTATATTTAAGTATTTACAAATGCGAACACTTTTCGTATTGCGTGGAGATAAAGCTGGAATGACACACTTAAAACTTACGGGTTTTGGCAAATTATGTATGTACCGACAAGTCGAGTCAATGAATTGTTCTTGTATATGCTTTGGCTACTAGTACTCCCGACTCCATAGGTAGGATCATGGAAATAATTTCACGAGTTTGAAACAAATTGTTTGGGGAAAATAATATCTTAATAAATGTTTGAATGTATTGTTCAATTCACTTGCCTCATACAGGAAATTGGACCGTTTGGTTTTAACCAAATGTCAGGCAACTTTGGCCAACCATCAGCAATTCGTCAAAATGATCAACGAGATGGACGTTTTATGGGATCTGGAGGTCCACCTCGTGGAGGCATGGGTGGCCCCCGTGGTGGTCCTCGCGGTGGCGGTGGAGGCAGAGGAGGTGGTTTTAGAGGGGGACGTGGTGGACGGCGTTAAAAGACTTGCAATTCTAGAATTGTATTGCATCCATGTTTTATTGGATTTGAATCTTTTTTATAATATAAAAATATATAAAATAATGAGGGTATCCTCTCGATAACAGCATGCAGACCAGTGAATAATGTCGTTGTCAATTAGCTAATAATCTTTTGAATATTAGGATTTATAAAATATAAGATAGTAATGTTTATGAACATTTTTCCCATTTTCCTATTTTTGCGTGGCTTGAAGTTGAGAGTCGGTTGAAATTTTCTGTAAGGTTTTTGATGATCGTTAAATATTTTTTGTTCAGAATTAAATAATGCAAAATATTCATCCTTATAGTTTTTACGACATCTTGGAATCTTGGAAAGGAAGTTCGTATAAATAATCTAGCAGATTCTTTTAGACAAGATATTCCTTACCGTATCTCAAACAATATTATTCATAACGTGATTAAATTAGAACAAACTTAGCTACTCGTTCGTCCTTTTTTGATTCACAATTTTAATAGATAGACCAGATCCGTATATTTGGGCATTCTAATGATTTTTTGTACAAGATCTGGTATTAAAACTTGGAATATCGTATTTCAGCCACTTAATATATAACATTATGCATTGATATATTTACCATTATATATTAAATATTTAGAATCGTAAGTGTAGAACCATGTTGTAATTGATTAATTTTTATAATTAAAACTAGTTTTTTCTGGGTTTCATCTCTGATTCTTGTTTGGAAACGTGTGTCCTTAATTTTGACAAGATTTATTGTTACAGCAAACATAATACAAAGCTGTTGGAACTGGAGGCATATTAATCTAACTTCCTAAGCATAACTTATTCAACTGATTCTTTATCTGTTTGGCCAGTTAGTTGGCATCTTCTAGGAATTACTTTAAAGTAATGACATTTGTATGAAAAATCGCAACCATTATTCACACTTAAGATAAGGCTATATCTACTATGGAGAAGTAATGCTTGTTGGTCTATCTAAATATTGGTTTTATTATTGGTACTAGTATCTATAAGGAGAGAGTATCCTTACGTTGTTGATCTCTGTTTGCTGCGAATAACTGGTCATCAGTGTCAATGGTGCCTTTCTTAATCTTAAGTTCGTCTCCTTATTGCCCATATTAAACATAATTTCTTGTGACAGTGACTAAGTAAATGGGGCGAGCATTGTATTCAAATGCTAATTTATAATATTGATCGATCTCTTGATTAGATTGGATGGTGTGTGCGTGGTGGTCATTTATTCACACATCCATGTAAAGGTTCACATCCATAAAGGGTTAGTTCGGTGGTATTGGTATTCAGCGTTCAGCTTGAGAATGTATACGAGTCCAACAACTTTGATGCTGATGCTGTTGCGAATAAGCTTTAGGGGTTGTTAAGTTTTACTTCAGTTTCAGTTGGACTTACGTGGATGCATTTTGTCTTCAGTCAGTCACGTTTATGCTCCCCCAAGTGAAACATCGGGTGTTCTTGTTTTCATTCCAATGTAAAGATTATATTGGGTTGACTTTTTCCATGACTATGTGCTGTTAAAGTTCTCGCCTGAATTGGGTTGATCCTGTTTGTTGTGTGCTCTACGGGTTTGTATAATAAGGAGAGTGATACAAAAGTGCTTTTGCCTGTTTATACAGTTTTGCTGGATGGAAATATCATTTCGGTTATGGTTCATTGGACCATTGAATACATGTGACAGCAGTCTCGTCTCGTTGATTTTTTTTACAATACGAGATTATAACTGCGACGACTGAGTTTGGCAAAATGAGTGAACAGAACTCTGCTGGATAAAAGTGCAGTTTCTGCGTTTCCTATATTATAATTAATTTTAATATCTTGTACCTAATCTGAAGGATGAAAATCTGGCGTTATGGATTATCCGTGCTACTTTTACATATCGCTGCTGCGCATTTTTCCTTCGCGGATAACTTAGGTCAGTCCAACACTTAATCCTTATCCATTTTATTAAGTAGCATTGCACAGCAAAATTCTATAAAAGATAAGTATACGGATTGCTTTAATACCAAATGTAAAACATATTTGGCAATTAACTCGTACATCCTGCTAGCTACATTGAAGACATTAATCTACAATTTATTAATTTGTATTACAGTATTTTACTAAATAAATTCTCATTAATAATTTATGTTTCATCGTTCAAACCATGATAACAAAGAATGCTACCTGTGCACAATCATTGTAGATTACGAAATAACCAATGAGTTTGCACTATGGATTTGCACCCTGATTGAGCAAGGTCTATTTGCTGTAAAAACTGCATTCATGGTACTCCTTTCCTTCTCATGAACAAACATTGGTGATTCTTCATTTCTTTCATCCTGTTTGGTTGTTCAGTTTATTCTAGTTTTTAGTCTTGTGGTGAGAGGTTGAAGAGCTTATTAATAATTGGTAACCTTCAAGGTTGCAAGAGTGCGATCTTTTCTGTCTTATCTCCCTCTGTGGTTTTACTGGTTGGTGAATCAGGACAAGTGTTGAATGTGGGTGTTCGCAAACTGAGAAATTGCAACAGCATTCTGCTCTTTAAAAAGAGTATCGAATCAAAGGTGGTGTACTATTGAACTTGCTGGAGACGACTAGTCTGTTAATGCTATGATCAAAGTTTTAATTCCTGACTGTAGTACGAATGTATGTACATTACAGAGGAATAAAATCGTGCTGAGAAAATACTGATGAATAATCAGTGTATGCTGCAGTATCACGTTTCATTTGTCTGGTATGTGTACCTAATTATCTATGCAGTACTAAAATTAGGGTACGGACGGGTGTTGTCCTTGTGATATATATTTTGCATTTTGTGCTGGAGAATTGTATGACATCATGGTAGAAATTGTTAATTGTTACAATCTCGATAGCTGAATCTGTGTGAATAATGGTGCGATAACTACAAACAAATCAACTTTTACATACATATGCGTAATAAGGTTACTCAACAATCAATATAATGGCGTAATTTGATACATGAATCGAATTGACTCATTTTTGGGAAGTAAAAATTTTATCTGCATAGAAATTTCTTCGCATCATCAGTTTTAGTCATTTTCTGTGACTTGTACAGAATTGTATGTCACACATTTCACAAATATGGTTTGGCGTGTTTTTGAACATATGCGTTCTGGTGCTATTTTCCACGGGACAATTCCTGGATATGCCCTTCACAGCCTATGGCCATACATAAGACGAACATGCTGGTGCGCTGGAAATGGGAACAGACATACGATCTCCACATATTTTTACATTTTTGACAGGCTCGTTTTGATGAGAGCTTCAAGTTCCCGAATCGTTTCGAAATCCAAACAGAAAATGAGGACCAAATTTTTCAGCGTCGTCCCAGGAAAAAAAATTGTCGCGACCAGGATCCATATTATTGCCGTGATTTTGAATATTTGGAACCATTACAATCTCCGCCACTACCTTGGGAGTCATCTAGCCCGGAAAATGATGAAATTCACAGAATTCTTCGTGACCCCGACCCCCATACCAGGGCCCCCAACCCGATGCATTACCGTTATCAACGCTCGAATTTCAAGACTTTCAAAGAGGACATTGTTGAGCGCATTCCTATTAACCCGTGTCGATATGATGATTATCAATATTAACGCAAAATCTTATCTCTCTATGCTAACTAAATGCCGGGCATGAAACTGTTTGTGTTAAAAATGTATTGCTTCATCTTCTAATATTATTGGATTTCGTAATTTTGAAATTTTTGTCTGTTAGGTTTGAACGAACCTCAAATATTATGAATGAACTACATGTTGGTTGATATTGCTTTTGCTATTCTTAATAGAGCTTTATTACTTCAGCTTTAACAATTAGATGTTGAGTGAACATTTTTTAGCACCAAAACTATTTTCAAGTTTTCTACTCTCACAAACAGTTTCTAAAAATACTTTGAATTGATATTTCCACAAATATTAAAATTTGTATTGTGCATGCATTGTTGGCACTACCAGCTCTGAAAAATTATGTATACTTTAAGTATACTAAACTCATCTTTGCTTTGAAAACGACACTTTGAAACTATTATCTGATGTCTAAGTATTGTCATTATCAAAATATTGATGCGAGGTCTATGATTGATTGCGATGATGGTAATATGAAATTGATGAAGTATTTCTGGTAAATGGTTTCATAAAAAACAACGACGAATTTTGCAACTTTTTTACTGTAAACCAAAAGCTGAACCTCTGAAAGAGCGACGATGATTAGCTGGTGTTTGAAAATTATCAAGAATTATCCAGATTGGATGTATTAACAAGGTAAATATACTAATTGTTTTTTTAAAAACCGGTATCATCACCATCATAATGAAGTTATTAAAGTTCTCTTGGATAATCGTATGGGCGAACTGTTGCCTAATTAAAATATCCAAGTCATCTCTTTATTGAAACAGTTTGAATGCGTCTGAAAAGAACTTGTTTCTGAGTTTTATTGTGTCTAAAGTTTTTTTCTGAAAGCACAGTTTTCACGTGTATTTTGGAAAAGTGAAAGCTTTTGCATCTATTAAATTTTACAAACGACAAACTGGAAATTACACCCTCATCTTTTAAAAAATGATTCAAAAGAAAAAAAAATCTATGGAACTAAAAGCTTAAAATTTATAATAACTATCTTCGCCTGTAATTATAAAACTAATCAATAATAATACATGTCTAATTTGTGAATATGTGTACTGATTATAGGTCGCAATGTCCATGCTACGAATCTCAACACCCGACATCAACATAAGGGAAATATGACATTCCAAGATGACACGACGTCGCAATTAACTGACCGTTTTTTTTAACAACACATCTGTGATATTTTGTGATATTTATTTTCTATACTTAAACTGTTATATGAAGAATACTAGTCGTTTTCTCGGGTAGATTTTTTTTACCTTTATACAATAAACTAAATATGCAAAGTTGCATATCTACCAAACCCACGAACAATTTGTCTTTTGTCTTAATGAACTCTCGTTCTCTCTACGGAGCATTTCATGTTTCCGGAATTATCATCAGGCGACCTGGAGGACCACACCCTTTTTTACAATCCACCACCATCAAATTACATTAGCACACACGACTTGGTTTGCTTCAGCCAGAGACGGACCAGTCTAGTAATTTCCCTATAAACGGAAAACGTTGTTCTCTCGTTGGATTGTCTCAGTCACGCATACACTAAAATGAGAAGAAACAATTGTGTTGCTGTAGCTTGGATGACGAGAGGGAAACAATATTTTTGTAAAACTTTTATACGCTTTTACTGTATGCACTAAAATCCCATAGGATATAGATGGATGTTGTTTTCTACGTGTAATGCAACGATGATGATGGGCGTTTCCCATGTTTGATAACTAGATCATTCTCCGAAATAGTGCGGCAGAAGAAGAGTTTGTACGTATGCATTATCTTCTCCAGGCATCGGCATCCATCTCTCTGATCTTGTTCCTTCTTGATGGAGTCAAATTGTTCGAAATCCCAAAAAAGGCCTAATAGCGATGGATGATGATGAGACAAGTCGAAAAGAAAGAAAGACGTAATGGTTAATTTGAACCTATTTTTGGCGTTGGACATCAATCTAATTTCTTGAACCGTTTACGGAAGCATTTTCGTTACGGAAGCTTTATGCTAATTCCATTATCATCCTTCTTCCTTTTGAATTCTCGTGGTTTCTCTCCTATCCTGACACTCCTCTTTTTTTCCTTCGTAATAAAATTGTACACGGAATTTTTGGTCAATCCTTTATTACCCAGCAGACGTAAAAAAAATCTATTCTATTTCTGACACCCGGCGTTGTAAGTACAAGTGGTGGTGTGCATTTCTCAGTTTTACGATCCTTTAAAGTAAATATTTCCTAGACCAGTTGTTTACCAGTTCAGAGTTCAAATTTTAACAGGAAATGGCTGTAAACAATTGTGAACAAGTAAACCATAAATTGCAGTTTTCACGATGTCATAAAATGTCAGCGCAGTTATGGTGTGGGTTTCCTTCGTCTTCTTCTAAATAAAATAAGAAACTCGCTCGCTATTCTACTTACTCGCATGAAAATGATAGAACGAAAGCATAGTTGGTTTCCATCAAATATGGTCTCGAAGCTCGAACTCGAGTTGTTGTAAACTATGCGTTGTCGGAAACTGTGCATTTTTTGTAAACCATTCCTTCATACGAGACACGTCATGCTAACAAAATATAGGTTTACAAAAAGTAAATTTATGAACAGCTCACATTACTTTTGGCATGGTATTCTAAACATTGTAATTAGCACCTCTGCCTACGTTCTGAACCTAAAATGAAGCACATGGTCGTGAATTAATGTGCATAAGTGGAGCAATACCTTGATTTGCACATTTTAAAACACCACATCCATTTCCACAATCACATCTCGCGAATAAATCTCAATTTATTAACAAGTCACTGATTTTACCATGTCTTCAAAAAGTAAAAAATAGTTTAGTGAAAATGAGAACCATGCCTCTTAAGCAACTTTCCTATCCGACTAGTTAACCTTTATGGGGCAATAACACGCAATATTATTGCCTGCCAGTGTACACACTTATACAGATAAGTTAACTACATAAGTGATCTCGTGTGTCGTCAGTCAACTTGACTTCAATAAGTAAGTAACCAGGTAGGCAGTGAAGTTGGCTTAACTTGAGTGTGCTCGTACATATTTTTAGATTTTTTTTTCAGAAAGGATATCCATGCATAAACTTAGGACAGACATCTTCTTTCTTTCACACGATAATGGAAAGCACTGCCAAATTTTTGCGGTAGTCAAGCATAATCTATCTCACACTGTACCGTACCGCGAGTGAGAAGCACGTTATCGTTTTCGATATCGCTAGCACGCGACGAAAAAAAACATCCCTCGCGATTCTTCTAAGAGTGAAATATTGGATTCATGTTCCACTTAAAAGACTGATAGTTTATTGGTTCGCTGATGGTAGCAGTGTGCAAAAATCGCAAAAATCTGGTTCTCATTTTATTTCTTGGTATTTATCATATACAACATCATCTCCCACGTTGGTTCTTAGAAGGTCTTCTCACCAGCCGCGTTGATTGGCGTTGTCGTGCTCGCCTCCACACATTATCTGTTTAGTGTATAAATCCATTTCTGGAAAGTTGGAAAAACTAGTGCTTCTACCTGAGCTTGTGGTTCGTCGGGTACTTAAAACATCACTTACTTGTGTAAATATTTAATCGATGTGAATCGATCTCATTTTATACCCAATTATGAAATACCTTCAACTCACAAGCTCTCTGTTGGGTTAAGTGGTTTCATCCAGGCCAGCTCTCTTTATGTTGGCCACAATTCTGCCCATATAGGACTAACTATGTTGCATGGAAAACCACATCATAATAACCAAACGTACATGTAATCGTACCCCACGACAGAGAGACGCAAGGTATCAGTTTCCCATTGCTTTTAACGGTATTAATGCAAAAATCGAAACCAAGATCAATGGATTGGTCTGTGTTCATCATCAACATGGTTTCCCAGCTTAAACACAGCTTACTACATGGATAGAGACCTCTTTTTCACGTTGTGCTATTAATGGAAAGAATTGATAAGTTTTCGAGACAGTCTGAAATTACAGATCAGACTGAAAAGTTGTGGGTGAGGGAGTGAGTTTTAAAAATTGTGAGAATTTTTAAGCCTAAAAAAACTTGTGCATTCATACGAATTATAAATCGGCTTATTCAGCAGCTCGATTTGGTTTATAATGTTTCCAGATTCTGTGAAGAAAATTCTCCATTTTATTTTTGTGACTGTGAAAGTTGACGTTGCGTTTCGTGAATGTTTGGATTGCACTGGGTAACTGTAAAATCTGAGCTGAGATGTTCCAGACATCTGCTGCCTCATCGACGAGTAGTAACACGAGGATGAGATTTGTGAAATCTTCTTCATCACCGTTCTTCCCATTTCATATGACAACTTGTTATTATTTAAATGCAACAATTTTTTATATTCTTCTCCGCCTCGTTTTTTGTGGGTGTGGGATTTATGTCTTTGCGGATCAAACAACACCATCATCTTCCACCATCACGAATCAGAGCCACATTCACCTCATTTACAGGAAGAGTAGTTTAGGTGAGTGAGTGAGTGAGTTTTTAAAATTAAATGGACACATATTCCCGTAATAATGATGGAAAATGAGATACTTTGGTATTTTTCTGGCGATGAATCCTTGTTCAACAACCTTTAAATCCATGCCAAACATAACATGGATGCATACCAGGAATATGTATTATTGGTGGTGTGAACATCATTAACTAGACGTATCTCCAACAAATTGCTGGGCTTATCCCAGCAATGTGAATCGTGCAGTCGTGTAAATGCCAGATTGCTGAAAACATCTACATCGCATCGCGTCATTTTACCACTCTGCGAAACCCGTTAAAATGAATTATTGTCTATTATTTCAGTCTACAACATGCATGCAGTTGGTTTTTAAACGGTTTGCAAAAAGTGCATAGCAGTTGTTTATTTTATGGAGTGTGTAGCCCATGGGGAGAATAAATACTGGTTAATTTGGTAGTTGTACTAGTGTTCAATAGGGGTTTTTGTGCATATGTAAATAGGTGATGAAAAATACATGCTATTTACTACATATACAAACTAGATCATGTCGTGGGTTCGATCTCTCTTGGAAAATGTGGGATTCCAGACTCTTTTTCAGTTTCCCCTTTTTTCGGTAGAGCGAGTAAAGTGTAGTTGCTCGAGGGAGAAAGTTCCATTCATGGCGAAGAGAAAGTTCCTTCTCCACTGCAGAAAATGCAGAAAGAGAAAGTTTGCAAATGTTCTTTCCTAGACTGGAATCTGTGTTTTGCAGTAGTAGAAAACTTGTTTATTTGTATAAATCACCACATGCACTATGCAGCTCTTGGAATCTGTCTCAACTTCGATTTTTCAATCCCCTGCCGTTTTTTCCCTTCTCGAATGAACCAAAAAAAGAGTCGTAAACACATCAGCATCCAAATCAAAGTCCAACTTTATCTTGCAACAATTACCCATTTATATACCACCATTGAAATTGCCTGACATTTGACTTATAGACCAAAGTGGGAACAAACAAGGATGCAGTAAACAATTTCTTTCAGCCCCAATTCTCATCAGCCCGTTACGTAAACAACATCAACATTCTTGACATACTACTCTATTCCTTGGTCTTCTTCGTAAGGGTGGATGGATGTGAATAAATGAATGGGTTGTTCTTTTTCCAGGATAAAATCGCCGTCATTCATTTCATTCCATTCAATGTAGGGAAGGATTTTCTTAAATGAAAACTGGCTAGCGAGTGACTTTTATTGATTTCCTCATGCTTAACGTTCCTTACTTTGGCGTAATTATTCATTTCTGGAGAAAAACTGAAATCAGTGGAGTGACATTTGCTCATTTGCTTTCACTTGGAATCTAGAAGATTTCGAGTCGAGTCAAAGGCTTAGAATTAGAATCGCTCAAATGGGATACGTCACCACCAAGAATTATGCAATAATACAGTAATTATATAGCTCAGCAAGTTCGCATAATGAATTTCGCTGTACGGTACATGTATGCAAAATTTGTATGTAATCAGTGGTCTATAACTGGAGAAAGAAGTTCAACTTTGGTAAATCATCATCTGCTCGCTGTTGAATTCAAGAGTTTTTTCTTATAAACCTCAGGAGTAGTAAACCTAAATCGTTTTAGGGATCTTTTGAGAAAGAGAAAGTAAGAAAATTGAGAATGAACGTTCCAATAATTGTAGCGCCTAATGTCTTCTGACGTCCCTTTCAGTCAAGCCTCTCCTTCTTCTCCCCAAATTTCTCCCAGCCTTAGCTTCAACCCTTCTAATTCATCTCCGCCACCGGATTGAATTGGGTTGGTTTGTGAAAGTCATGAAAATTAAACTTTATTCCCAAGCAATACGTACACAGGGAGGAGAAAGCAGTCTGCAGTCTGGGGAGTGAGAAATTTAAAGCAAAACTCACCCATGGCCTGATTCTTTTTGGGCAAATGTGGTTGGAAATAGTTCACCCAACACTTTCTCCATGCAGTTGAGACTACACTTCATTTTCACACGCCTTATCCTCTCCACAAGCTTTCTCCTCCAAAGTTTAGACACACGAGATCCCAGTAACCCAGATATCTCGCTTGTGGTGTGGTCGTCGTCGTCGTGGGGTTGTTGAATGTTCATGTAGGAACCCTTTTTGCTCTTGATTTCGAGTGTGGAAGATATTTACTTGCCCATTTGTTACTTGGCTGGCTCAACCTTCACTGGTGAAAACTTTCTCTCTCTCCCTGTTTGGCAATAGTTCCAACTCTTTTGGTTTTTCTCCATGGAACAATGTATGTGAGATGATGTAGGGCATTTCAAATCTCAAAACCACAGTCGACTACAACAGTAATCTGCCAAACATGCATATGTGTGCATGGACGTATGTGAGGCAATACATACGGTTTCTATCGTATGATTGTCAACATTTCTATATACGAATAGGATTGAGAAACATGTATGTAGCTGTACTAGATTTTATTTGGCTTCCGTCTTTGATAAGTTCAATTGATGTAGACTATTTTCTTACTGCAGAAATAACTACACATAACGGCAAATAAGTATTAATTAATCCCACAATAAGTTGCATTCTATCGCCGTTACATAGATTCTAGAATTTCTTCTTGCATAAGTCCAATTTTTCAGGGATGATGCTCCCCCAAGGAAATAAAACGATCAAGAAATGCTTCACAAGATCTGAGTGACAATTTCACAATTTTCTCCGAATTTTCGAGAAAGGAAACCTTATATAAATCTTACGACACGAAGTGTAACATAGATTTAAAGCGATCTGATCTGAATATATAAGCCCCAACACTCAAAAGTGTGTCCTTGTATTGTATCCTGGCATCACTCATTGCTGAGAAATGTGAGAAATAACGTGGGTTTAGAGACCGCAGGACAGGTAAGAGGATTTGTTTTGGACAAAGTAGTTTATTTTGTTGAGCACATCGACATCACCGCAAAAGTAGGTATGTGACAGTAGGTCTTCTTCTAAGCTTGGCTAATAAAACGTAAAGCATCCTGATCAAGACTCGAGATGATGAGAAATGTGTGTTTGTTGAGCTGGTAGGTATGTAGTCCAACGGAGTTCTGTCAATGTGCAAGCCCCGTTGTCTTCACTAGTCAGTCAGTGAGTTGATATGCAGTAATCCTCACATTCCGCTCAGAAAAGATTGAAATCCTGGCTGGATGAAGAATCACAACACCAAAAATTCCTTCCATTTATACGAATTTCAAATCTTCAAACGAATTTAAACATCAAAGAAATTGTTTCTTTGGGTGAAAGTATGTACGAATCGTGTCTATGGCGTACCTATTTTAGATATTCCTTCAACCCACTCAATTCAATGATACGATACGATACGATGGTTGCATCATAACATAGTACGATTTCTAATTATGGCAATTTCAGTCTTTACAAATAGTTTTCTGCTCGTGTAATGATGAATCTTTAGTGTACGTCTTTCCGCGATGACGTATGCATGCAATATTAATATTGGGAGCTATGTACATACATAAATAAGTCTCAAAAGTACGATGATATGGAATAAAAGACCCAACCACCCTGCCACCCACCTAACTAAACTACCCACATTTTGTGTCAAGACCACCTTCGTCCTTCCTCTTCCTCTTACATCCTTCACTTTCGATAAGCGTTGGTTAGTTAGTTGATACACGGAGGCCATTATTCAAAAGTAATCTCATGTAAAACTTCCTTCCTACACTCATAATTTCCCTGTTTCCTCCTTTCTCTCCCGTTTTGTACGTGATTTCGCAAAACTTTTCATCTTCCCGAGGTAAATTTTACTAATAAATGAACAGCTACACATACATATATACATAACTACATATCTGCATAATATATAGATTGATGGCAGGCATACTTACGTACGTATAGTAGATAGGTACTAAACAATAAAAAAAGAGTAGGTAATTTGCAAGCTTGGCTGAGTAACTACAATACATTCTGGTCACCCATTGTGTTTCACGGTGAATAACACTATTTAGGTTACTGTGCAATTTTTCCATTCCATTCTATTTATAATATTTGAAGCGCAAATTGATTCCTTTTTGTGCCGATCTATCCCCCTGAGAAAACCCACTGCAATCCATAAATCATACATTCTCAGGGCAGAAATTGAAAATGCATAACATTGATTTTTTAACATCTTTTTTTTTTACTCCACTTTCACCTTGTGCGTCAGAAAGAAAGGGGGTAAAGAGTTTTATCTTTCATGCCGTCACTACCACTGTCTGTCCGCCTACTCGGTCAAAAAAAAATAATGAAGAGATTATCTTCGACCTATTCTAACCGTATGAAAGGTTTTGAAGGTTGAACTGAAGGGTACTTCAATTGAAATAATATTGCTCTAAATCTAATTTTGAAACTGAAATGAACATTGTTCGACAGGTTCTCATCCAGTGTCCCAATTGGGTTAGAGCTCATGAAATGAAAACCGTGTCCCTTTGTGACATCCATCTCCGGATAAGAGTCAAGTGAGACGTTTCAGCCTCTTGTCTAATTCCTTTGATTCTTATTCACCTTTGACAAAGTTTTGAATTTTGCGACAGTTTCAGCTTACAAATACCGAGTTAAACCGGGTTGACTGGTATTAGCAAGTGTCTCATTTTCTAAATACTTGAATAAAGTACGACAATATTTTGCATTCCATGGCTACTTTCACCCCTTTACATACATACTTGTCACTTGGAGAAAGCATGCTCTACTTACTCCATGCCCTGTTATGTTATGCAACCAATGTATGTACGAGGTCACAAATCACACAGCAAAACGGGTTTCCATCTTTTCTCCGACAACGCACGTCCTATAATTTATTTCATGGGTGGATACAAGATAGCTTTTCAAAACGGATTGAACCAGAGAGGAAGAAGCAATGCTATCAGATCAGGCATCGCCACGGCTAAAAAGTCGACGAGAGATGCAACTTGAAGTTCTAGCGCCTGCTGCTGCTGTGCTCTTCTAAATGCCTTCAAACTGTTACTACCATTACCTAACCTTGTACTTCTTCTTCTTCTCCTCTAAAGGATGATGATGGTGGTGGTGGTTGATGGTTGAATTGGTATGAGATCCTCCTGCGGTGTGGGGTTCACCCAGCCAAAAATTGTTATTCTGTTTGACTGAATAAGAGAAATGAAATTTTCGTCTTCTTGTGTAACAAGAACGAAGCACACCTTTCCAAGGTTTTGTACAATTTTGTCTCCATCTTCATTTTCATTTTGTTAAGGGAAGGAAGCCTCGACAGACATATGTACGTGTAGTATCTGTGTCGGTTGGGGTGTATGTGGATGGATGTGGTGTGGTCTTATATCCGCAGGTATGTTTGGTAGAGAAATGTTGTTCTGAACTCGGCCGGAATATTGGAATTTGTTGGATGAGCTACATTAGAATTTCAAATATGTTTTAGAGAGGGAGGCGAAAGTTCATTCATTCTTTCACCCGTGGGCTGCCTGATTCATTCTTTGTCTTGATGTTGTGTTGAATTTTTTAGTTTCATAAATGAGATTTAGGGTAAATATTCGCACATGTGCATTTCCAATTTTGTTTTGGTCACCCACGCGAAATATTGCTGCTTCCTGGTTGGATTAAATTAAGAGTGAAAGTCGTGCTGCTTTCTCTTTGAAAATATGTATTTCCCTTATTGAAAAAAATATAATGGAAAATAATTCAAATGTGGAAAAACAGCACGGATGAAACTTTAGAGGGTAAAAACTCATCCTGTCATGACATCAATTTCTGTTGATGAGCAGTGTAGTATTCAATATTCGAAACCAGCAAAAACTGGTTCTTCCAAAATACCACCAACCAGTAAAACTATGGCTGACTGCTAAATATGTACCATCACAGCACTCGTGGTTGTTGGAGTGGCTGAAAGATGAGTGTTTTTGCCGTTATAATTTGGATGAGGTGATGCATCACATTCTGCTGACACTGACACTTTTCATTTCTCATCCGGCCTAAAAACAGTCCAATGGACAAACTCTCACTAATAAGTAATCTGCTATACTATAATGTCTGCCTGAACTGTGTAGCAATTGGACAGATATGTATGTATGGAAATAATAACGAGTTTTCCCTCTGAAACTAACTTGATCCTTCTTTTCTAGCTCTGCTTTCCGGAACGCTGCGAACATATCAGAGAGCCGCGTGTGATGACGCATGGGTGAGTTTGGGAGAAATCCAATGTTTTCCTACTTCATAATGACAAATGCATAATTACAGTGAAAGTTTATTCCTTACTTTATCATGCAAAAAATTAGGTGAGTTTGACATGTCCTCCAACAACGACGATTTCAATACAATTCTCGCAATACGGTAAGTTGTTGTCGGAAGGTAGTGACAAATAGCGATCCGTATCAAGCACCTTATTGCTTTAGTTTTTGTCTAATTAAACTGGTAAAATGAGTTTCTATTAAATGATGATTTTTGCAGCGCTATACATACAGCAATTGCATACTTTAAATCATATGAATTGATGTAAAGTTACATTCTCTGTTCTGCTAAATAGTATGGAATAAAACGTACATACGTAGAGGGTCCTTTTACTTATCCTTTGATTTTGCAGGATTTAAATGGGAGTTTGCAACGGTGTAAAATGACTGAAAAAAATGGATAATGCTAATATGGAGCGAAGCTTTACGCTGATTTTTTCTGAATTTAGGAAATGACTTATTTATTACAAAAACGTAATCGAGAAAATAACTACAATAAAAAAACTACATCATATCAACATTATTGTTGACGTGGGTGGGTGGAGTTGGCATTATGAAGCCAGGGTTCCACCCTGCAAATGGAGGCTTGAAAGCAGCAGACTTAGCAGCTGGTTCTTCTCTTTTCTTTGAAAAGTCTGCCTTCTTGGCAGCAGCCTCTTCCTCCGAGTATTTACACTCACTGAAAAACAAAGCAAATTAAATTAGTTATGAAGAAATTAATTTATTATTAAACATTAATGATAAATTACAAATTCACTTACTTGCCGTAGTGGCCCTTCTCCTTGCAGCGCCAGCATCTTTGTTTCTTCTTTTTCTTTTCTACAATAAAATTCAAATAAAAACATGAGAACTGGCAAACTTTATTTATTGTATTTGCGCTTACCGTTCCCATCAACACGCCCTCCCCGACCGCCACGCTTTTCTCCCCCTCGACCGCCACGCTTTCCACCACTGCCAACTCCAGGAACCGTCAAAGTAAATGCACTCCCAAAAGGGAGTCCACTCACAATCACCTGATGGTTATACTTTCCCATCTACAAATTCAAACAAATTATAATTGTTTAATTACTTTGCTAACCTAGCTTTACATCATGACATACCTTATGTCGAAGAAGAACGAAGACGAGGACGCCAAAAACCAATAAGAATCCTGAGTGTGCTGCTCTGTTGAAAGAGGAGACGATTTATTTTTAATTAATGCAATTTAAAATGAATAAAAAATTAGAAAATAAATGATAATTTTGCTAACCTAGCTTTACTTTGATTGATTAATATGAAAATTTTAAAACTATTTACCTTCAACGAACAAGGAACAAAATTGCGAAAAAGCGAAGAACAACGACGACAGGTCGACGAACGATCGATAATAAACCTATAAAACCATTAATTTATTATTATGCTTTGTTAACCTAGCTTTATTAGTAATTTGATTAATTAGATCTAAAACTACTTACCGAACAGCTGAAGACAGCAGAAGATCAACTATGAAGACGACGACGATAATGATTTGAGAAGAAGATAATAGTAATGAATTTCACTGCAAAATACATGAATTATTATTATTTATTAATATTTATTGCTTATTAATTAATTAATGAAAAATCACCGAATTTCTGCCGGAGAGAGAGTTCCACCCTGTACGTTGACGAGAGAGAAGTGAGTGAGTGAGCTGCAGTGGTGGTGGTGGCACTCAAGTCAACGTTTTGACTGCAGCTCACTCACTCACTTCTCTCTCGTCAACGTACAGGGTGGAACTCTCTCCGGCAGAAATTCGGTGATTTTTCATTAATTAATTAATAAGCAATAAATATTAATAAATAATAATAATTCATGTATTTTGCAGTGAAATTCATTACTATTATCTTCTTCTCAAATCATTATCGTCGTCGTCTTCATAGTTGATCTTCTGCTGTCTTCAGCTGTTCGGTAAGTAGTTTTAGATCTAATTAATCAAATTACTAATAAAGCTAGGTTAACAAAGCATAATAATAAATTAATGGTTTTATAGGTTTATTATCGATCGTTCGTCGACCTGTCGTCGTTGTTCTTCGCTTTTTCGCAATTTTGTTCCTTGTTCGTTGAAGGTAAATAGTTTTAAAATTTTCATATTAATCAATCAAAGTAAAGCTAGGTTAGCAAAATTATCATTTATTTTCTAATTTTTTATTCATTTTAAATTGCATTAATTAAAAATAAATCGTCTCCTCTTTCAACAGAGCAGCACACTCAGGATTCTTATTGGTTTTTGGCGTCCTCGTCTTCGTTCTTCTTCGACATAAGGTATGTCATGATGTAAAGCTAGGTTAGCAAAGTAATTAAACAATTATAATTAATCATCGTTTGTGGTTCAGGATCTTCATTCCCAGTCGTGTTTCGCCTACGGATTAATTTTTAGTTAATTTTATGTATGTTTATGTTTTAGATTTAGTTTATCATTTGTATTTCTGGACTGCTTTGTGCGGTTTTGCTAAATAATTGCTTTGTGCGATTATTAATAAATAATTGCTTTGTGCGATTATTAATAAATAATTGCTTTGTGCGATTATTAATAAATAATTACCTTGTGCGGTTTTATAAAATTCAAAAATGGCTCAAATTCTACATTACCATTCTTGGAATGCTGATGGCATCACAGAAGACAAAATTAAAGAAATGATGCCTCATTGGAAGGATAGTAACCTGATTTTTATTCAGGAAACTAAACTTCAAAAGATAGACCAGCAGAATATTGCTGATTTTGTGAAACAGCAGTTTGGATTTGATTCCATTTTCCATCCATCAATCCCGAGGAAATCAGATCCTACAAGATCGAGCTATGGTGTTTGTTTATTTTATAAACACATAAAAGTCCAACATATGAAGCTGAGGTCATCAAATCCTAACCTACCTGTAAATCCCGAGAGGCTTATGATGTTGAAGGCTGAATGTGATTTGCTGGATAAAGAGATACTGTTTTTGAATTTGTATTTCCCAGCAAACGGTAGCAATAATAAGGGTAGACCAGCTGAACAGCAGAAATGGTTGGAAACAATTAAGGTTTTATGTAAAAAAACATAAAGACGAACATTGCATTTGGCTCGGCGATTTCAATATGCAAAAATTGAAGCCCAACAAACTGCCAGACTCAAGGTCTAAGTTGTTTGGGAAACTCCAAAAAATCATAAAGAAGTATGGTTTTCGAAATGTAGCAGATAAGTTGTGGAAACCAAACGTCTTTACTAGACATGGTCCACATACACATGATTCTACCAAAGTTAATCACGTCACTTCCACTTTGGACTATGTGATTACTTCTAAATCCATACAAGAACTTAATCAAACATGTGTTCCATTATATGAAATGGATTTGAGTCTTAGTGATCATATAGATATTTCTTGTAGCAATAAAATTGCTACAACTCTTGATCTTGCCATGCCATTTCTAAAAAAACTCGTCTTGAACCCTCCAACTATTGCCAGAAAAAATGTTGTGAAGGTCAAGTGTGACAAGTGTGGATATGAACCCACTTCTACACTGTTGAAAAGTAAAAGAGCCAGTTTGAAAAAGCACCTTACTAAATGCAATGGCCCGAAGCAAACCGTATGCACTGATTGCAACACAGATTTCGGTAATCCTGGTTGCTTAGCACTCCACAGAATGAAGAATTGTCCAGGGGCGCCATATGTAACAATTTGTCCAGACTGTGGCCATGATTTCCGGTTTTTAGCTAACCTTATACGACATAGGAACCAGAAGTCGAGTTGTAAAGATTCCCCTGTGTGCCCCAAATGTCAAAAAAACTGTGGTAATAATTCAAATTTGATACGACACACACAATGTGGTAAATGTTAGAGTTCTTTGTGTTATGGGTCGTCTTTATGCAAAGTAAAATAATTTCTCACTGTAATTTTCGTTTTGTTTAACAACGAAATCGCTTGTTTGTTTAGCATTGCACTGGTCAGTCTATAAATAAAATGAACATCGTAGAAACGCTTATCTCACGAGTACCGCACTTTCTGGCATGCATTTGTTCCAATTTTCCACAAACTTAGTCGTCTCCTAATGAATACAATTTAATAGTATAATTACAAAAGGGAAAACTGCTGCAACGCCGGCATTATGTGGCGACAAAGATCTCCAACATCCTCACGCTGCAATTCCAACAAACAACAATGTTACCTGCTATTCACAAAAGGCTTATCAAGTAAATGAATAGAATAATATGACAGGGATGCTTTCACTTTTGATGCAAACTCATATTTCCAAACTTTCAGACAATTGTAAGTCGCTGTCAGAAAAAAACAGAGTGCAAGTTCCAGGTCTCGCCTCGAAATTTGGGTGGCGAATTTGGGTTAGTGTCTCATTTTAGTATAATAGAGATTGTTTGCCATCTACAATTGTATATGATTATTGTCATACTATTTAATTTAGCTGTCCCCATGCGCGAAAATTTGTAGAAATTGCATACAAATGTAGACCAAGTAAGTTTACCTTAAATACAACTTTTCTATATCGGACAATATACAAAAATTAATTCAAGTTTTACTTTTTTAGGCCAATTTAGATCCGTTATTGGATGTGAGAGTGACCTGGTTCAATTAACTTGTAATCCAAACTCTAGGCTGGCCATTTATTCAGGTTTTAGATTTAATAAATTATTGTGTTTACTAACTTAACATACCTGACTGCAAATTTTAACTGTATATTCAGCAAACTTTGGAAGAACCGAATATGAATCAGTGCAGTGTCCGCAGCCATCGTTTGTTGACGACGAAAGTGAGTTTCTCTATTTAAACTTTCTTCTAATTGTATGATCTATATAGTGTTCAAATGACCTTAATTTTGTAACAAAGACTTACTACAAGCAATGTCGGTCATCTGCTGGATCGATCATAAACTCATCTTCGAACTCATCCTTAAAGTCACTTATAAAATGATAGTTTCCTAAGGCCTAAAAATTTTGGAAAATGTTTCTATAAAATATCTTAACATTGTTACAGCTTGTTTGGCCAGTTTTGGGACGGAGACTGTAATGCAAATGTGCCATGGGAAGAGAAAGGTAGTACACAATTACATAATGCAGAGTAAGGCGTTTGCACATATATTCTTTGTTTTACAACAACAATAAAATTTCAGTGTTCCATTCGAGCGGAGGCGTCCACGTTTGGAAGGCCGTGCAAACCACAATCGAGAAATTACCTTAAAGTCATTCATACCTGTGGTTAGTAAAGTTGCTGAATTTGTTATCTCATGAATTTGAAGTATTCAAGTGAAAGTTGCTGCTGCTCTTCTTCTTAATATCATTTACATGTATGAAAAATAGCTATGAAATTTAACGTGTTTTGTACATTTCATTCTACCACCACAGTTCCGAGGAAGGTTTTGAAAAAAAAGTTTCAAGGTAACTGGTTCATGTAAATTAAATTAATATTTTAATTATTGTGCCAAATATTTGTTGTTACTGACCCACTCACTCGCAACAAATCCATATATAAACACACCCAGCTAATAATTTCTCTCTCTTGAAAAGGGGAACTGGAATCGGATGAAACTGATGACAACCCTGACGAGTCGGAGGATAGAACAAATGATGATTCGACTTCCATGATCATTGAGCACTCAGCCATGATACCTTCTTCAAATCATCCATTCGAACCCCGTGATCCCCATTCGACACAAGATTCGTCAGAATCACAAGGTATACATGCATACTTTTACTGTGACAAATTCACTCAACCAACCATAACACCCAACCCTGTAGTCAGTCATGTGTTTAATAATCCTACTTTTAATTTCGCCAGTCAAATTTCTCCTCTCTCAATTATGGAGATTCCCAAGTGGAAAGTCAAAAGTTATTGAAAACATGAAAGAATTTCAAACTGACTTTCTAATTTGTCTGCGAAAATCCTCTTTTTGTTTCATTATCAGCTTTTCGAGAATTTAGAGAAGAGCGCTGAAATTTTTGATCTGAATGAAACTAATTTGCTGGTTTTGTTCCCAATTTTTGTCTCCAGTTCTATTCAACTCGAATCACGACGACTCATCATCCTCACCAACGGGAGGGAAGGACGACAACTTTGGGGCAAGGTCTTCAGCCGTGCAGAATTCTGACACAGATATTCACGAGGTGGGTGTTGATGATGGCCAGAGTAATGGTGGCAGTCACAATTACACGGGAAGCTCGGAGGACATTCGGTTTATTAACCTCATCTCGCAAAGCATCAATGCGTACGCTTTTATCGAAAGTAAGTATTCAACAATGAATGGGAAAGATTTGTGTTTGATCGGGTGAAAGCAAACCAGGCAAATAATCGTATTCATTGTTTTAAAACTCAGGAAACAGTCACACTTTCTGGCTTCTGATTGCAATTAGCATGCTGTCGGTATTCCTCCTGTTACTCTTCCTCCTATTGATCCGCCTCGTTTATGTTCGACACAAAGGAAACAAAAAGGTTCAAGAGGAACAGAAAATGAAATCATCCACGATACGTCGTGCTTCGGGGCTAAGTGATATTGATGAGCTGAGTCTGGTTCTCGATCCGACGGAATACGTACATTTGTCCACTATTCAGAGAAGAAGTAATCCATCTAGCTCTACTTTCGGGTCGGGTGGACTTGCAAAAAATAACCGGGTTGTTCGCTACTCTAACAGCAGAAACTCCATGTTGGGCAGGCAAGAAAGTGACACTTCTCCCAGAAGCTTTCACCAAGAGCACGAGTCAGATATTCATTTCTTCTTTGGATAAAAAAGGAGAACATTTGATTGCTTACTTATCTTAGCTTATCTTATATTCAGTTGACTTCTTATTTCTATGCAATACTTGATAAGTATACGAATATAAGATAAGTAAAAACAGGCCATGAAACTTAATTATTCTGGTCGAAATTCTAAGTCATATTGGTTAAGCTACTTATTTAGTTGTGTGTTTACTTCGTATACTGCAAATATTTTATTTTATTTTTGTGCTGAGAAAGTTAATAAATGAAATCTGGACATGCATTATAACCAGTTATTTAAAATAAAAAAATATGTCACCTTATTTAATCTGGCTTATCAGTCCAGCCTATGAGAAACTAATAAAAACAGTTACGTTTCATACAGTCCCATGCGTTTACGCAAGTGACCTCATAAAACACATCACGTTGTGGAATGATGTCTGATCGTAAAAGTGACTTGGCCAGAAATTTATTTCAATACCGTACATACACATCTTTCACCCACACCACACCACACCACAAACTGATCGAGTCAAAATGTTATTGCCCAAGAAAAGGAGCCAAAATGTGGTTGGGTATTTCATCGCAGTTTGGACGGACCGAGTAAAAAAATTGGTGAGATAACTTTATCTTAGGGAGAGAAAGTCTAAATAATGTTTTCATTTAGGAATGTTGCATCCTGTTTAATACTTAATACATGTATCCCCCAGTAAATACATGGCATAAAACTGAGGCAGGGTTTCATAAATCGGCACATTTCTCCACCAGTCGGACCGATTTTGTGCGATATTTTAAACCATCTGCACCCCTCTTTTTTCGGATCTAAGAAAGGAATGCGTTTGACGCTCATAGTCATCACATCAGTAGTCGTTCTATCACTCGTCGAAATCGCATCTTAGATGTGATCTCGGGCAGTGAAAGTTTGGTTGGTAGTGGAAGGATTGGGATGGTACGATTTTGCTTTTTTTTCTGCTTAGCCAACCTCCCACAGAAGAGGATCCACTTCTTCTCTGATGTACGTACGTAGAAGGAAATGAGCAGCACCGGATGCCCGAGATGAAGACTAGCTTTCACTTTCTCCCACTTTGTTGCCGTCCGCACGTTTTCAATCTCGTACATTTTGGTTTGACTTGACTCTGCTCTTATTGGGAACTGTTTGGGGGAGGGAAGAAAGCGGTAAAATGATTCGATATTGGTCTTACTCTATGTGTTGTGATCGATTGGTTAGACTTTCTTATGACAATTAATATGAATAATGGAAATACATAAATAATTGGTGGAGGTGCGAACAAATTGAGACAATTGGTAAATATTTAGTTGGTTATGCAAATTAATGAGTTATGTTTCTGTATTGTGTATTTTATTTTGTTAATTAAACATTCTCTAATAAACTATATGATGTATTCTGCCATTTTTAGGATTATATTGTATTTACGCCGGCCACACTGTCGTCGGTGTCGTCATACCTGTATAAAAATAAGTTGATGGTGTTGTTGTTGTTGGTGTTATTGTCATCCCATAATTCCCCCTGGTCCTAATGGTCAACTCCACACAGCTAAATTTCCTGATTCCAAAACTCCCATCATCCTCTGTTCGTTTACAAGTCCCTGTCGTAACTACTGGCAAAGGAAGCCCATCTGCAACGACCAGTTCGACAGGATTCCTCAATCTCCAGTTGAGTTTAACTTCGTCCAATGTATACAATTGTGGGGAAATTTGAAATTTAAAAGTTGCTTCAGAGTTATAAACGTCCCCTGTCCCCACAATTTGCATGATTGAGACGGGAATCCGTCTAAATACTCGGCCACTTGAGCTCACCAATAATTCCTGATTAGAGTAGTAATTCGGCTGAATAATTGTCCAAGAAGTACTATAACCTTGGCTGGCATTATAACATCGCAACTCTGGAGTCCAAACTCTTCCTTCACCTGGAATCCTGACATACGATGCCCCATTTATTTCGCTGGTGTCGAAACTACGCCTCGGATCAGTATATTCGGTGACTAGGTCGGCTGCAATGTCCAATCGAGGTGACATGGTCCCTCTGTAGTCGTAATAATTGCTGAGTCCAGTGACTCGAAAGTCGCGAAAGTAAATCTCGACCTGTGTCGCTGTTGGGGTCTCTTCATCCTCCGGGGCGGATGGTCGAATGTCATCATCGTTGTAGTTGTAGTAATTCGGATAGAGTTTTCGAATCAGATTTTTCAGTTTTACATTCCAACTCTGAACAGGGCCGGAGTCCTCACCGTTTATTGTTTTCCGTTGACCTTGTGTGGAGTGGGAAAGAAGATTCGTCAAAATAAGGACGAGCAGAATGGAAAATTGTCTCATTTTAGGATAAGGAAAGTAATTTTCATGTATGAAATTACTGATTGTTTTTTTAGGCTGATGAAATGATTATGTTAGAAAGTTGGCTGCGGAGTTCTATTTTATAGGAGAATTTATCAAGGTTGTGCACTGATATTGTGCACAGGTAGGGTTCCGATTCTCGTGATTTTACCTTATACGGGTAATCTGTTTTATTGCATTACTTAGGTTTATTACAAATTAGAAAGTGCTAATTGAATACAGATATTTTGTGAACCCTGCAGCTTCTCAGTTATATAAGAAAGTATATTATTTATATATACGGTTTCTTCAATCATTGTAAACTTAATTTGAACTTCAAGGTTGAAAATGAGGAAGTGATTTCCATTAGAACAAATGAAAAATATTTTTAGCCGTGACAATGAAAGTCTACACAAGAATTATTAGGAGAAGTTAGGTAAAATTAGTAAAATTAGATGTATTAGTTATTCAGAGACACGAGTTTAGACTGAATTTAGGTACACAATTCCGAGAAATATGTAGTTCCATTTTATCATATGATAAACTATGGTTTACTTATGTATGATCATAAATTACAGGCTGCTCTACAAGGTTAGATTGCTTGCAATATTTACTACCTTGATTAATTACTAAGTTCAATAATTGAGAAGTATATGTATTTCTACAATGGAAATGGCTATTTTTAGTAAAAAAGTGTCATAGTAAATCATTCTGACAAATATTTGCTCATCCACATCATGTGCCTTGCTCAATTACCTGAGAAGACTTCGAATAAACCTGTTATATTTTAGGCATCGTCATATCCCATCTCATTCAAATTTTCCAATTATACCAAATGAATACTATTTCCGCTCGGAATGTCAATTAGAAAACTCTTTACTAAAAGGTCACATTCATTTCAACTTCCATTCATATTTCGTAATATTGATTTTACAAGTTTTCAGTTAACAAAAAACTTACTGAATCACAAAAAATTAAATCGCATATTCTGTAAATAAATTAAGACAATTTAATATCTACGTTTGACTTATTGTGCAAGTATAATAAGCATATCACCGCTGTTACACAGTTTCTCCTCAATTTTCACCCAAATTAACATAATTCACAGTACATTGTTTAAAAGTCGCGTTATGTCATGCCATTAATATTCTTCCAGTGTCATACATACGTTTCTAGGTTGAACACCGAGTTTTAGTTTATTACAGGGTGATAGAGAATTACAAGTTTGTTGTAATTTTCCCCAAAATTAAACAATCAAGTCCAACCATCCTTCCTTCCAAGGGCATATCTAGAATCAAATAAAATCATGAAGTGTACCTAGCCAGGCGTACCCATTGAGTAAATAGTATTTCGTGGAGGCGATGGTCCGGGGGAGTCGTATGTAGGTACATATACATTCCTCTATACTGCCTTCGTTTATATTCAGCTCTCATAATGTTTATCAGCACATGGACCATCGTACAATGTATCAAGTAAGTAAAAGGAATGGCTTCAACCAATGATTTATTTGCGAGACTTTTGCCAAATCGAGCAGAAAATAGAAGTGCAAGCTAAATGGCCACATGCCGACCTCAGAGCTCAAAAGAACACTGGGAAACTCGTAGCAATGGTGAAACTTCAACTTCAAACGGTCCAACCCAACAAACGAACAATGCTGGGCTAAAAATGTATAATGTCTTCCTTCCTTGGTGAAAGTACTTGACCAACGACGACGAAACTAACCATTTTCATGTCCTGCCTCTGGTTTTGTCTTTGTGCTTTCTCCTTCCTTAACTTTCCCTCGTTTGGTGTGGTGTGGTTTGTGTGTGTGTGAATACATAGTGGAAGGCCAGTAGGTTAAATCGTGCTGTGTGGGAAGGGCTGGAGTGTCATAAATTCATTTGTGGATGCCGTTATACCATCTCAATAATGATTTGTGGACCACTTTCTTCCCAGTTCAATCAATGTGACACTCATTTCAATTAATATTTTTGTCCCAGTTCTCCTCCTCCCAAAAGACCGCAGTCTGTAGTAGTTTTCTAGATTGCAAAATACAGAATCTCAACCTTACCCTCATCGTTGTCCTATTTCTGTATCCGTGCTCTTATTCTGAGAGTAGAATTTAACCCATTTTTCCATCGTATTAGTTACTTGATTCATTTCTGTTGTTCTTCACCACTTTCTCGACACGAAAATTATTTCTCTTATACATTCCAGTAGTTTCACTATCCACGATATGCATACCTTGTATAAACAGCAGGGAAAAGAATCCATTAGTTGATACATAGATATTCTAAAATTTTGAGATTTATATAATCAGCAGACATACGTACGTGCTCAGCATTTCAAAGAAATATTTTGCCACATTCAAAAATATTACGATACTACCTTCAAATGCATTAGCATTCCCATTATCCTCTCAATATTTGGGATTATCTAAACTGGAGATAAGTGCGAAAATGCTGCCGACTCCGACTGAAAAAATAATGAAGGGTTTTCTCCAGACTCAAAGTAAAAGTGTGTCTAGCCTCAAGGAAAATTCACTTAACCCTTTAACGTGTATGATTAACGACAAGAAAATGCATTAAATCGGGGACACTGTAAGTATTTTGTGGTCATGGCGCGGGAGGAGAAATTCTAAAGTTTTTAATAAAACTCGAAAAACTGAAAAATCAATAACCTATCAGTACAGCTTTGCTTAGCCCGAACCAGAATTAGTAAACCCATGTTTCTCAGTATATTTAACTTCACATTAGTTCATGAGAAAGTAAGGATCTCTGGTCCAAATTTCAGCTTTCTACGTTCTAAAAATCGGTATGGGTTACCCCATAAGGTCGCTCTAGATAAAAATTTCACCAATTTCATGTCATATTCTTCCATTAGGACACATAAGCAACCTCTCCACCAAATTTCAGCTCGATATGACGATTTTGAAAAATTAGTATGGGTCACCCCATAGGGTCAATCAAGATGAAAATTTTTCCAACTTGAACTCATTTTTATC